CTTGCTTTCTGGCTTATTTTGGGGCATAATCTTGACATACAAGTTCCTAAAGGAGAAAAGAGCTCTGCGCTGTGCATATGGTGCACTCTGGGTTTCTGAGAGAATTTACAGCTGTCTGTCACTTTATCCATTTACCTGTTTCTTGATCAGGCTTTTTGCAGTGACTGCTTCTTTTTTTAAGGCATTTATTGATGAAACTAACTGTCCATGATGAGCCTACAGTCCTATAAAAAGCAGGAAGGCAACCGGTGACCTCTCTCAATAACTCACTCAGCACTTCTGCGCTCTTATGCCCTTTTCTCGGCACCTCCGCCATGTGTTCTCAAAGTGCTAATTTGCAGATAATTAAGTAATCCACTGAAATGTTATTTGTCCCTCTGGGCACTATGCAAAGCAAGGAGGTTGCTATATTCAGGGCTGACTCATTTGTAGTTCCCTCATGGGAAATATCACATAATCAAGCAGACACTGTATTAAATAATTCCTCTGAGCTCACATTTTTTTTTTTTTTTTTTTTTTTTTTTCAATGACCGCATGACATGCGTGTACACTGCATGGGGGAAAAAATGGTGTAGAAACAATTTACATTTAGAAATTGCTTGTAAATTGAATTGAACAAGTCACCTTTATTTATATAGTTCTTACAAACAACATTGTTTCAAAGCAGCTTCACAGTATTAAAAAGGAAAGTAACAGAATCAATCAAGCTTTATCAAATATGTGGCAAATCCAAATAAGACAATAGTGTCATTATTCAGCTCCAGTCAGTTCAGTGTTGATTCAGTTTGGTTCAATAACTGTGTAAAGTTCAATTATGAAACAAGTTCAATTCAGCTATAAGCAGCTTTACAGAAGACAGTGGTTTCATTATGCAGCTCCAGTCAGTTCAGTGTTGATTCAGTTCAGGTCAGTAAGTGTCAGTGTTGCAAGATTCGTCAATTGAATAAATTCGATTCAGCTATAAAGCAGCTCTACAGAAGGCAATAGTGTCATTATTCAGGTCAGTTCAGTGTTGATTCAGTTCAATCAGTTGATTCAGCTCAAGTTATTCGGCTTCAGTCATTCAGTGCTGATTCAGTTCAGGTCAAAAACAGTGTCGATGTTGCAGAATTTGTCAATTATGAACAAATTCGACTCATCTATAAAGCAGCTTTACAATAGTGTCATTGTTAGATTTATTCCAGTTCAAGTTTTGTTCCCATCTGATAGTGTCAGTGCCATCAAATCAGTAATATTACTGAATATTAAGGCAACAGTGTCAAGAACGTTAATTTTTTAAGTAGAAAGACTGAAATAGTATGTTCTTGTAAAACATATTACAGTAATCTTTGTTTTATTTAAAACTTCAAAAAAAATTGTAAATCATGGTAAACATTGTAAATCAGTTAGTCTTTGTCACCACTGAGAGCGTAGTATCTACTGTTTGCTGCATTGAGGTTGTCTATAATGCCCAAGAAAAAGTCACAGTCACCTCTTTCAGCTGGTCGTTTGCTTTTCTTTCCCTTCGTCTATCCATCAAGACAGTATCTGTACTTATCTCACGGTTCATCAGCCTCGTAAATCTCCCCTTAAACAGCAGCCCTGAGAGTGTGCACTATTTTCTGCTGAGTTAGAGGAATCGGGAAGCCTTTTGAAAGGCTCCTTCGGTCTGACTGCAGTCCAATCTGCGTGGAGTGCTGGGAATCGCTTAATTTGCTTCTGAGCCTCAACTATGTACGGTGTCGGCGGCCCTTCTGGGTGCCGGAGAGGGTGGAGTCTGAGGGCTGTTTACTTGCTGACAAAGTTTTTCGATGAGAATTATTATAACAAGCCTAGGGATTTGACAGTAGAGTCTCTCTTCCTTTAGTCTGAGTCAAATTAGAGTTTGCCACTTGGCACAACAATTATTGTCACTGTTGGTGCTTGATGCGAGGAGCGGAACAGTAATATTCTCTAGGGCAACAGGCGAGATTAATCCTAATACACAAGTGTGACAGATTCTTCTGGTTCTGCTAAACAGATTTATCGTCCGTCCTGAAAATCTGATTATAGACACATTTCAGTAGTGAAAATGGCTAATTCTGCTACAGTATTGCTACAGTGTCGTATAGATACAGTGCATTTATCATTACTCATATTTAAGCAAGTTTTTTTAAACAGAGTGTCTGTGGTTTAACAACAAAAGCAGCAAAGTGTCACATAAGTGCAGATCCAAAAGGGTCATCAAAGACTCATTAATTTTTCATAGGGTGTTTGGGAGGATATTCTGTCTCTCACTGTCATTATTTTCAGGATGGATGGTTTGCAGTCAAGCCTCTGCCTAACCAGCATCTGTAACAAGCAGCTAGACACAATGTTAGACCTAAACACTTTATCATGCTAATCATTATCTGAAGCTCTGCATCTGCAACGACAACCAGACCAGACCGTATATAGGGAGCAAAGAAAAATAATCTGATTTAATATGTCTATGAGCTGTAAATCCTTAAAAAATGATAGAACAGGGATTTTCAACCTGGGGTCTGGGGAATATTAATATTGATATTGATACATTGAATAAATAAAAACATTTTACAAAATGTAACGTTTTTACTGTTTTCAAACATTACAATGTACAGTAGTGTGAACCTTCCAGATAATATTTTACACATAATGTTTTTATTTTTAGCAGTCCTATGTCAAATCTTTATACATGGAAGTATTGTATGATTATGAAATGTTTTCATGTGTAAATTAAATAGTTTTGTAAATGGAAAAATTTTCAGACTGAAGTTGTGAAAATTTCTAATTCAATAATTGTATGTATTAAATATATAAATATTAATATTGTTATACTGAATAAATAAATTTACTGAATCTGACATTTTTACAGTTTCATTCTGCTTTCAAAAGATTGGTCATAAATAAGATTAATCACAAATTATTTTTATTCTGTTAATAAATAAGACAAAAAATACCATGTCAATTTGTCATGTTTTAATAAATAAAATAGTTTAAAAAAATATAAAACGATGAATGTGTATATGATACACATTTTAATAATATGTAAAATAGTGTTGTAAAGGAAAAATAATGTAAAAATGTACAAACAAAATAAGAAATTACAGAATTTACTGATTTGATTTTTTTTCTTGTTTTCTGAGGATTTGTTGGAAATCGTAAGATATGGGGTTTTCCCTGTTAAAAAGCATCAGGACCAGCTTAAACCAGCTCAAACCAGCAGCCATGCTTCAAAACATACCTAACCAGCATATGCTGGTTTTTTCAACAGGGTTTTTACTTTCTTATCCTTAGTTTTATGTTTTTCTTCATATTACTCAAATACTGGAATGTTGAACTATTCTTCAAAATGACAGCTTAAAAAAAATCTCAGCTTTAAAATATCTCTACTAGTGTTGAAACCAAAACTGGTCCCTTGTGTTGCTTAGTTAGATGTGTTTTAGTATGTCAATGCAGAAGTCATGTACAGTAAATTGCCTTTCCTGGCCTCCCTGAGAACTGCATCCTGCCTCTTGCTGAATCAGCCTTAATGTGTGGTATATAGACCGCTGTTCTAGCAACACCCTGACAAACGTTCACGGCGGATGGGCCATGTTGAAGTCTTGTCACATATCCCTTGACAGTGTCGTGCTGCATACATTGCCTTCTGTGTAAAAGCTAACAGATCATTACTGCTGCAGAGAGGTCCTGACCATAGCACACAACACCCACCTTCCTCTTCCCCTAAAGTCACTGTCGTCTGTCACCCTGTGGGAGATGACATTGCTCCACAACACGTCCTGACAGGATCCTCCTGCCTTTGCGTGTAGGCTACTTATCAGAGTCTGGCAGACATTTCTGCTCTTGACTGTGCCTTCAGCTTGGAGGTTATTCTAGTAAACCGGTCAAAAGTCAAATAAACTGTAGCTTTTGCATTTTAGTATTTGATGACTAAAAATTAGATGACTAAAAAATATGAATGCTATACTTTGTCTAAAACCAATTTGTTAATTATATATGTAGTTGCATTTGCTTGATCAAAAATACAGTAAAAAGAGTAATATTGTGAAATATTATTACAATTTAAAAATAAATGTTTTCTATTTTATTATAAAATGTAATTTATTCATGTGATGAGCAATTATTTTAGTTTCAGTGCCAAGTAGTACCTCAGAAATCATTCTGATATTCTGATTTGGTGCTTAATTTTAGCAATGAATATTGCTGCTCAGTTATTAATAATAAATCTTATTGACAATATAGAAAACAGCTTTTGCTGCATAATTTTTGTGAAAACATATGTATCTTTAGATTTAAAAAAAATCTTTAAATTTAATATTTATCTTTGATCAATAGATAGTTTAAAAGAACATCATATATTTGAAATAGAAACCTTTTGTAACATTATAAATATCTTTACTGTCACTTTTGATCAATTTAATGTGTCCTGACTAAATAAAAGCATTTTTTATATAAAATCATACTTAAGCTCAAACCTTTAAATGGTAGTATATCAGAGTTTACAAAAAAAAATTAAGGAGCAAAACCAAGCAGTTTTCAACATATATGATGATAATTTACATTTTTAATTTTAATAATTTTATTATGATAATAATAAAATGTTTCTTGTGGACCAAATCAGCATATTAGAATGATTTCTGAATGATCTTGTGACACTGAAGACTGGAGTAATGATTCTGAAAATTCAGCTTAGCATAAATTCTATTTTAAAACGTATTCCAATCAAAAACAGTTTTCTTTTCATTGTTTTACTATTTACAATATTTCTGTTATTACTTCTATTTGATCAAATAAATTATTTCAAAAACATTAAAAAAAAAACGTAATTATTCCAAACTTTTGACAAATGTATATGTAGACTTGGAAATATTTGCACTTCTATAAAATGTATTCGTCATACCACATGCATTTAAAATCCCTAACTATTAAGGACAAAATGGTGCAAAGTTTGGATTTTTAACTGAATTGTCAGATTTACCTTTTACCAACAGAATTATTGTTATTTTTCTCTTCTTTTTCAGATACCACAGTCTTTTTCCCCCGATTTGATGGTACCTCTTTCTTGGAGTTGCCGTCTCTGACATCCCTGTTTCAGTCAGACACTCACTTTACGAACCATTCCTCTGAAGACAGGAGGACCATGTATTTGACAATGAAGAGCAAGACACCTCATGGTACTATTCTCTACTGTGAGTATCTGAGAGCCACTGGGAGAATACAGCTCTTAAAACAAAATTGGAGTTTTGTGGCTTTTAGTGCTTGTCTGGAACAGTATCTTTGAGCTCATCCATACGCTAAAATGAATTTTTAGGATATGTACACATTTAAAATGGACTTTCTCTTCTCGGAATCCAACATATATATGACTCACCTTGCACACAGGGACGCATACTAATTTTTGTCTATTAAGATGCAGTCTGAGAATATCCTCTTCCCTTAATACCATCTGCGTATAAACAAGGGGTCGATTTTTTTTCAAGTGATTAATTTTGACATGACATTCATGATATATTTGCTGTTCGCATGTGGCTACTGAATAGCAATCACATCCAAACGATGCAGAAAGTTTGACTCAATAACTAACACTCTGTCAGTGTGTGTGAATAAATAATTGGCTTCCCAGCATCGCTCACTGCGGATTACACAAACTGAGTTATGAGACTGTGAATATAACTGTAAGCCTCAGTGCTAAATTAAAATGCCGGACCGTCGACTGTACCTCTTTATCCAGTAATGAAGTCCTCTCTCAGGACATGTTAATGACATAGCAAATGTCTCTAGGTGAAATCATTCACACCAGGATATGTGCTGTGGGCTGAATTTAAAGGTATGACGGCTGATCCCATTAGCTAATTGGCAAACCCTGCTGGATGATGCTCTTCAATTACTTTGTCCTAAACAAATATGGTCCCTTGGCTGGCCCGAACTCCAAATTAATGAGTATTTGGGGATTTTTACCTGTAATAGAGTGAATTAGGTTTACATTAATTATAATGTATTAAAATTTTAAGTAGTTTCATTATTGGAAAACAAGAATATATTATAAACGGTCCGTTTTGTTCTATTAAACGTTGCCTTGCTTACAAATCTCTGTTGTACTTGAGAGTTCAGGATTTTAATCAACTGATTGACGTAATAATTGGCTATACATATTAACCATATGTCCAAAAGCACTCATTGTTAATCTGGTACCTTGTAAACACAAATTTGTTTCCGGGCGGATTGATTAAAAGTCCTGTGCGCCCTTACTTCAGCAAGTCGGATAAAGTAAATCAATGAGATTAGAGCTTGTCAGTTCAAGAGTGACCTTTTTTTTATTCGAAACAGCAGAAATCAAGCAGTATTTTTTAACAGTATGTTACCAGAAGGTGAAAAGGCTATTTTTTACCCTCCCCCATGCAAATGTATGGGATGATGTAACTAATTGTGGGCAGGGCCCATCTTGTGGTTCTAATAATACTATCTCTTGTACTAGTAGAACCACAAGATCGTCCCTACCCACACTATATAATAAATACTATAATTCTATCATATTTATTAGATTGGAATTGACAAAAAAGTTTGCATGCTCAATGTCACAAATTATTATTTGAATAATACCCTGGAATATTTCCTCTTCTTTTTACATTAACATTAATTTATTTTTCTGTGGCTGGGTGAAATTTTGATCCACAAGTATGAGACAGGTAAAAATGCTTGTATTTTGCATTTCTCAAATTTTCATTCAAACTTCTAATAGAATTGCAATATAATATAATATTACAGATCAGTATTTGTGGTAAAAAAATAGTTTGCATAATGCTTTTTCTTTATAAATGGAATAAAATGAGTAATCAGCAATAGTTTTTACCCCCTCTGCAAATGCATGTGATGATATATGTATATTGTATATTGTATATACTGTATATTGTGCTCATGATGACTCACTAGAGGTGTGAAATATTGTCACCATTTGAAAGGGAAGTGCTTTATCAATCATTGTTTTACTGTCATATTTGCAGTCGACATTGTTCAAAAATTGTAAGCTTATTTCAAATGACTAAAATGCAGTCCATATTACATCAGTAGCAGCGGTCTTGGCAATCACCTGACATTTAAATAACCTGATAAGGAGATGAGTCATGTCTATAAATTGTTGGCACTAAAGGCAGAGTGCTGGATGGACTGTCATCTTTGAATGAGATTGCTCTTGATGTCAAGTTAGAAAATTCATTTTACTTCCACCCTGTCAGATTAGTTGTGCATATGCAGCTCACCTGACATGGCCAATATGACAGTGTTTATCTCATGTCTCAACCTGTCAGAGTCCTCGTGAAATTCCTTTTATAGATTAGCCATGTAAAAAAAAGACAGGGAGCAAGCATTTGGGTTCGTTCTCTCGTTCGGCTTGTGACACATTCATCAATTTAAGAAGAGGGAAACTGACTGATTTAATTAGAATGCTCTCCCAACCCGGCGTGAATGTGATTAGTAACTTATTTATTTTTCTGTGGCGAGTGGACTTTTGATCAATGTCAATTTTATCCAGATAATTTCAGTTCTTACAGTGGGGTCCAATAGTCTGAGACAACTAGTAAAAATGCTTATATTTAATTATATATAATTTGAATATGAAATTCTATCATATTTATATTAATTAATTAGATTAGATTAGATTAGATTAGATTAGACAAAAAAGTTTGCATACTCAATGCCACAAATTATTATTTGAATAGTAACCTAGAATATTGTCTCTTCATTTTTTTTACATTTTCAAATGTGATAAGTAACATTTATTTTTCTAATTTTAATACAAAATTCTAATAGAATTGCAATATATAATAATATAATATAAAAAAGTTTGTATGCTCAGTGTCACAAATTATTATTTGAATCGTGATTTAGAAACAATACAGAATATTTCCTCTTTATTTTACTTAACTATTGTCTTAAAAAATTATCAAATTAAAAAAAATTTCAAATGTGATTAACATACGGGTATCTGTGGTAAGTAAATCATTTTCGGTTTCATACAAATAATTTAAATTCCCTTTCAGTCGGTCACTCTCGACGTCACGTCGGATGAC